CTGGTACCTACCCACTCCCACCCTTATACACAGCCACACCCAAACATACACAGTTCCCTTCCTCTCCTTTCATTCTGAAGGGCAAATATGACGTGACAGAGCAGGAGTGTAACTCACGGCTCTCTTGACAGAGTAGAACTTGGTGATGGAGTACAGGTGTGGGTCCTGCCTGAAGTGGCTGAAGCTCTCCAGGGCGAAACTGGCGCAGGCCTGGACCTCTGGATCGTTTGGGTCGACGTCCTCTGTTGCCACTGGAGCAGCGGGTGCGGGATCGGCGGCGGCCATGCTGAGGACGGCGAGTAAGACTGAGGAGGGAGTGGTGAGCAAAGGGGTGGTCACATGGTTACATAACGCCTGCCACTGCCTCTCAGGTTTGTGCCAGCTCTGTAGCCTATGACATTGTGCCGCCCGCCCTCTCAGCCGCACAAGTCCACCTATCAGGGTTCTCGGTTTCTCCCCTCTTATTTCTCTATCGGTAACATTATTCACTGTATTGCAGGTTAAGTTCATGCGCCGTGCCTGATCTGAACTACTGTGGCGGGAGCCTTGTATATGAGGGCTCCAAGTCCCGCAGAGCCACCGTACTGTGGTTTGAGTGTCTACCGGATGTAAATTCAGTGAGCACACCACTATTCTCTGTGACTCATACCAAGATTGAGCCCTTGCATGAATACACTGTAAGCATGAGAGTGAGGCTGTTGTTTAGAGGTCAGATTTGAGGCTAATGAGGAGCTGTAAAAACTGCACACAGCCGCAGTCTGTGAGTGCCAGGTCAATTCTAGTTGAGCACTAATGGATACATATAAATGTCTACTGGTTCTGTATACATCTTCATATTTTCAAACAGCAAAAATCTTGAACAACAGGCTCTTGGACATCATGACCCAATAACTTCAGGTAAGAAAAACTATTTCAGCCCTCAAGACCAAAAATGTCTATGTCTCTGGTTCTGAGAACAGAGGTGTGATCTTAGTGGATTTTACAGGGTCCTTCAGAAGATTCTCGCTGCAGCTCCATGCGGCAGTTGGCTTGTCTGGTTGGCTTGTTTTGTGCTTTCCCTCGCAGAATGATTGGACAGATGTAAATTCTTCCAGAACCATGACCAGCGCCACATTAACGAGAGCATGTCACAATGCCCTGCTCTCTGCCAGCGCATGCTATTATTCACGGGCCAAACAGGAATAAAACCATGGAGGCATGGGGTTAGCGCAACCAATGGGCAGTGTCAAACTGTCTGATAGTGCTGGCTGTTCTCCTCTAAACAAAAATCTCACTGGCCTTCACTACATCCATAGGCCTTGGTTTCAATTCTGCTCTCTCAGAATAGCTCCCAAAGCACCTAATACTCAAAGTGGATCTCATCAACTGATCGGGACTATATACCAAGTAAAATGCTTCCAAGAGTTCCTAATATGACATTTAAAGCTAGGTCCATGCTTTTGCTCTGTGATCAAAGTAGTATTTGCATCCAGCTGCAGTCAGGCATTTTTGTCAGTTTTATTTAGGGCCATTCACTTCAGATTGGTATGTAGAACCAGTTTGCAGTGAAGATCATGGGTCCACATTTAAATGAAAGTTCACTGGTCTGAAGGTTCATTTGTTACATGGCTACACACAAACAATGTGATTGTTAAGTAATGCCCTTAACGGTGCCTTATAAGCAATGCTCAGTTGTATTGTAGGAGACATCTTTTTAAATTAGCAATACCAACCACATTTATGTTGATAAAAACTAGGCATGTACAAAAAGTAAAAAATAAAATCCTCTCCGCAGTTATATGCGATTCACCATCATCACAAGACCCACTGTGTGTTATGACCACTTTCACTGGCTGAAACATGCACTGCAACCACCTGCTCGTGCCTCCACCCCATCACTGCTCCATAGTGAGACACTGCTTACTGAACTCATGCTCAGCAATGTGCATCTTTTCACAATGGTGCTGATGGGAGATGAAGTCCAGTAATGAAACAGCAGAGTCCACGATCCTTACCTGTACCATTTGCCTCTCTTAGCAATATAGCAATACCTTAGCAAAATGATGCTTTTTTTCCCTTTTGGAATAACCAGTTTTACTTTTGCTCACTGTTGTACTAGATCTGCAGACCTCACCTTGGCCCTGATCTAGCACACAGTAGTAGAGCGACACCGTTTTTCGCAGCGTATATGAAGAGGCAGACACATTGCTCCTAATCAGATGTTCTTGATGCACCGTATCTCAGTGAGTGAGGCAATAAATCAGATTCAAGTTCTGATCACCTGCCTGCTCTTAAGTGTTCCTAAAGACATCAGTGAACAACAGCTGTGGAATATACAAGTTCAGTTCTGTCATATGAAAGGACATAATACAACCGCTTACTGACAGATCTTAGTAAATCTAATATACATCCCATTATTGTTTCAGCTCCCTCCATAACAGTCAGACCATGATAACCAGTCCCTGGTGGCTACACAAGGCAACCACATCCATGCACCCACCCCAGTCTTTCAGAATATTCAGTGTGATATCTGTTATTCCCCCGTTTTAATACTGCGTCGCTAAAATCGCTAAAGATAAACTCAATGACATACAGCGCAAAAATAAGGGCAGTGTGTAATAAACACTGTGCAGTGTGGGAAACTAGGTGCGGCTGATTAACACAGGTGCAGACTGGTGGCTGGGGCTGACTAACACTGGGTACAGGTACTGGTGGGTGGTGGACTAGAATTCAAGGTCGGGATCTTTCAGTAATTATTCAAACATTCAATTGCAAAAATAAGACACAGAACATGTACAGGATGTTAAAAGGAAGCAGGGCAAGACAGCCTTGATCAAATCATCTATGCTAGAATCAACAGGTAAAGATAGTATATTAAGCTTTTAAAAGACAAAACAAGATGGATGTGACAAAAGTTAATGGCAACGTGATAATCTTCAACAAGACACAGCTTAGTGCAAAATGCAAATTTATTAAAATTTCAATTTAATTCTTTTTTCAGTTTCAGTAGACTTAAAACCAATATTTTAATAATTCCAGAATTTAAACCCAAATTCTAAAAATGTAAAATTTACAATACATGTCCCTAAAATTAAATAAGTTTAAATATAAAGGCAAATGACAGCCTTCTTTTAAAAATCAAGAACTGCTGTACTTCAGTCACAAAATGTGTCAGTTACATTTTTAAAAGTCACACTTAAACGGTTTTCCCTTTAGGTTTACAGTGTTGTATCAACTTTGATATCACAAACTATTAAAATGCTGCAGTAAACCATGCAGCAATGTCACATTGATGCAGTCAGATGCAAGAGATTATCAATACTACAGATTCATAAATGCATTTCCTTCAAGTATTCTCAGTGCTGAGATCAATCCATCTACCATTTCAACACATAATTTTTGGGTTTACAACAATGCTACAAAAAAGGTACTGTTGAAGTGCATTCAAGGTTATTCTTCAAAAAAAAAAAAAAACAGACTACCAGTTTTACACATCTCATATACATTTACTGTAACAGGTCCTTTCTGAGCATCAGAACAATACAAACTTAGGTTTTACTTCTGTGACTACCTAAAGGTAAGAATCAACACAGTATCTTTAGTTTGTTTGCTTAAATAATAATAATGATAATCAGAACAATAATTACATCTATAATTGTACTATTATTTAATCTGGGATGGATTCTTAGTATTTACAATTATTCAATTGAAACAAATAAAGCCTTTCTAAAGCAAAGCAACGAAGACTAAGTTTTACTCCTGAAATAACAGATATGCCTCTTATACAGCTAATACAATCGTAATAATCAAAATAAACTCTGCTGTATGGAGCACAAGCACTTCGAGAGTATTAAAAATACCTGACATGTCTTTAGTATTATTCCTTTATTTTGCACTAAGAATCACTGAAGCACAGGTGTTCCGCCCAGGTTTGCTTCCGCCCGAAGTCTGCGGAGAAACCCCAAGGAGCCAGGATGATCAGGAGACGCCAACCTCAGGAGGCCGAGAGGCAGACGCGGCATTTATAGAGCTTCTGATCGTGCGTGCGGATGTGGTCCTGCACGTTCCGCTGCCTGAAGAAGGTCTTGCTACACAGCTGGAGAGAGGAGAGGTGAGATCGCAAGGTTACAACCGTCGCCGTCTGCTCCAACTCACACTTACGGATACACTGTTCCTGCACCGTACCGGAGGGACGGAGAGAAGGGGAGGTAAGAGAGGAATGGAAAGAGAAAGACAGAGAGACGGAGAGAGGGACAGAGAGACGGAGAGATGGAAAAGGAGACAGGGCTGGGGAAAAAGGGACGGAAGATCAGGATGCAAACGAGGAAAAGAGCTAAGGGGGTAAGAGGGAATGGCCACAGACGAATGAGGCAGACATGTCTAGTCAGGTTGCAGATGTTAACTTGGGGTAGGGCTTGAATTGTGCTAAGCTCACACTCACTGCTCTGGGAGTGTTGTTAGCCTGGTCTGACACTGTTGCTCATTCAACTTGAAAGGATACACTGTTCTTTTGAGCTGGAAGCTGCTCTGGATAAGAGCGTCTGCTAAATGAATGTAATGTAATATTTGTAATGTAAATGGAGGGAGAGAGACATTAAGCAGGAAATGGGAGCAGCGGCAGAGCGCTTACAGGGCAGGGCCAGTGCTTGCCCTCCACGTGGCGGATGCGGTGCATGATCAGCGCCTCGCAGCTCCTGTAGGTGGTGCCGCACTGGAGACAGGAGTGTGAGGACAGCGGGGCGGCGCGCCTGCGTCCCCCTCGGAGCCGCTTCAGGCGCGCCCTGCGGATGGACTCGAGGAGCGCCGAGCGCTGGGGGTGCAGCGGCAGCGGCCCCCGCAGCTTCTGCAGAGACGGGGAGAAACACACGGTTAAACACATTACATCCCATTACTGTCATTCAGCAGACGCTCATATCCAGAGCGACTTACATATGTTACAATTTTTACACTGCTACCCATTTATACAGCTGAGTATTTACTGAGGCAATTCTGGGTGAAGTGTCTTGCCCAAGGCATCAACAGTGCCCCGGCAGGGAATCAAACCAGCAACCTTTCGGTTATTAGCCCTGCTCCTTACCACTATGCTACAGAGCTACAGTGTACTATGGTGCCCACCCCCCAAAAAACTTTAAAACCCACTCTTATATTCACACACATATGCATAGAAAGGTCACACTAAAGACTGGTGCAAACATTTGACATGCAAGAGAAAATTTTAGACTTGCTTTACTGTACAGTACAACAGACAGTGCTAAATAATGAACAAATTATTCATACAAATCTGTAAGTAAATTTCAGAATTTACCCAGTTTCAGAATTTACCCACTTTCAGTATATGTCTTATGACAAACTCCAGACAGCAGCTCCAGACAACATCCGCAGTGTCTAACTCACGCACCAATCAGCAGACCAGTTAAGTGTCTCTCAAAATGTAGGCCCTAAACGTGAGCAGCTAATAAGACTTTGTGGTTCCCCTACAGATAACTTACACGTGGGACCCAAGCCCACCAATACATGTTCATTTAATTTACATTAAGAGAACCAGTAAAAAATCTGAAACACTCCAATAGGGAATTGTTCCACCAGGACTGCAAAACTTAACAGCAATGCACATAGATCCATCTCACCACCAAAAATGCTGCATAATAAATAGCCTACTAGTTAAGAGTAATGAAAAACACCACCACCATAATTAAAGGGAACACTTACTTAAAAATATTTTATGCTGCCAAATTCACACTTGTATATATTGCATATTTTATTACAACAGACCAATCAACAGGAGAAGTATATCAATCCTGGCATGTCCTGAACGCTGTTCATCAGCTGAATCTACAAAATGACACACAGTGCAGATCCTCAAGTTTAAAAGCAGAGTTGGGACCATTCCATTTATTCATTTAATACTTCATACAATGACTGTTCAAATACATACCTGAGTTCCAGTTCTACACAACTAAGAACTGATAACTAAACCCCAATGGATAATGGTTTCCTTTAGTTTAAAATGGATTAACCCTGCCAGAATTTTTTTTTATTGTGGCATACTAGGTATGATGTAAAATAAGGGTCAATCAATTTGTGACTTTACACAGACACAATTAAGAGCACTAGGCATATGACACAGATCTACAGTCTTTGCTCAGATCTGTTTTGGCTGCCTGACTTCGTCAAATAACAACATTAACTGAACCACCATTGATAGCCTTATGGAAAGGAAGATAAGGCCATTCCCCGGCCTCCTGCTACAAAAGACCATTGACTGCTAGCACTGGCTGGACCTGATACAGCTATCAGTGCAACAGGCAAAGAAGCAGCAGTCAGGACCAACTGTCACTCAGACAAACGCATAGACTCGTCCGATTCAGTCCTGATTCAGTTTAACTGATTCAAGTAACTCTGTTTATACTGGCAGCTCTGTCACCAACCCGAGACACAGACTAAACACAAAGAGAGGATACCTAACTAACAATACATTATTACTTTCATGTTGTTTATGAGTTTCTTTTTAATTTTCTTTCTAAACTGCAGTGTTATCTGTTATACTAATGAAACTGCACCTGTCAAGAGGATGTGAATTAAACAGTGTCTGAATTGAAAAGAGGATGTGTCTCTTTCTCTACAGGAGTGTTGCCACACGGTCATAAAGGGCAATGTTGTGCTGGGTGAGCTCCTCACACTGCGCAGTTTACCTTCGGAACTTCCCCTTTCGCTTTCACTCTCCCGGCGCTGGGCAGGGCGGGTTTGCGGGGGCAGTCCTGCATTCCTCCGCCCCGCGCCGTGACGCAGGGCGCGGCCCTCTTTTTCAGCGGGGGCCCGCCGGCCCCGCCTTTGGCTCGCAGCTGCTTTCTGTCAGACCTGAGAGACTCCCTGAGGCCCCCGCGCGCCCGCCGGGGGAACCCCGACCGGCCGCAGGACACGGAGCGGGTCAGGCAGATGGCCACGTCGGTCTCCTCCTCCTTCTTCACGGCGCTGACGGGCCGGCAGAAGTGGAAGAGGAAGCCGGGGTCCAGCAGCTTCACCGGGGGCCTGCTCTGACGCTTGCCCATGGCGGGGGCAGGGGGGGCGGACACGGGGACGGGGTCGGCCGGCTCGTCTTTGACGGGCCTCTGCAGGCCGCGGACAGGCACTTGACCGCCGCTGCCGTTCCTTCTGCCAATCGGGCGTTTCCCAACTCCGGGCGCTTTTCTCGACCCCACTGTCTCCTCCTTGGGTGTGCGTCTGCCTTCTCCCGGCACCCTTCTGGGCTTGGAGTCCCTTCCCCTAGTACCAGTTTTCTGTTGCGTTGCTGTTTGAGTTACAGGCCTGCTGCCACTATACTGTTGACCCCGGACAGCCCTCCTGCTGACCCTGGCTGACAGCTCGTCCAGGGGGTCACCCCTCTTCATTTTGAGATGGTTGCGTTGACGGTGTGTGGAGAGGGCCAGGGACTGGATCGAGATGGTACTGGGCTCCTTCTTCACCCGGACGGATTTCCTGATTGACGTGCAGGAACCAGTCTCCACATTCCTGGTGCGGAGGGTGCGGAGGCCTGTGAGGGGCGCATCCCTGCCCCTGACAGAACGCCTGAGCTCCCTGCGTTCTGTGGGCACCGGGGCCGCCTTGCTGCGGGCATTCCTGCCATGGGGCTGCGCGGGCGCTAGGGGGCGCCCTTCCCTCCTCACCGTCATCTCCTCTATGCTGAGTGGCTCCGGGGGCTCCGTCTTTATCACCCTGTCCAGGAAGGTGGTGCTCTTTCCATCACCCAGGGAACAGGACGGACCGCCGCTGCTGGTAATGCCGGTGCTTCTGGTGCCGCTGCTCATAGCGCTGCTGCTCGCGGTGCTGCTGCTGCTGCTGCAGGCGCTGGCGGCAGGGGCTCGCGGCTTCCGCTGGGAGCTGAGGGAGTAGCTGCTGACCTTCAGCTTGCACAGGCGCTTCTTCTGCTTCCGGACGGTCAGGTCCTCAGGGCCGGGCAGCAGGCACTTCCTCTGCAGGCCGAGCACGCTCAGTAGCCTGTACTTCTCCAGTGTATTCGAGCTCTGCAGGTCTTCCTCCTGCTGCTGCTGCTGCTGCTGCGGCTCCTCCTGCTTGGCAGGACTACTCCCCGGGAGTATCTCTGTGAAATTTAGGTTCTGCTTAGATTTCGTGGAGCAGGAAGGGGAGTAGGATGAGGGGGTGACCGAGGGAGTACCGGCTCCCCTGACACCTCTGTCCCCTGGGGAGCTCTCTGCTTTGGGCTGGCGGTGCGGCTCCGCCCGGGCGGGGACAGGGGTGGAGCGCAGGGCTCGGCCGGGCTGCCGGTGAGGCGGGGAGACAGGCCGCCGAGCCGAGGAGGCGGACAGACCGCGAGGGGACGTTTTCCTCTTGCTGGACGGGGACTTGAAGTCCATCAGCTTCAGCCTGCGGACGGGGCTGCAGGGGTGCTCCGCGCTTTGGGGACTTCCACACTTTGGCAAACAGCGAGCGGGCGACTTGCTCGGGGTGTCCGTCCCCGACTTGTCGGACAACTCGAGGATCAGTTTAAAGCTTTCATCCACAAGGTGCTCCCTGCTCGGCGCAGGGCGTTTCCTGAGGGAAACCGATTCGTCCGCAGGATCCTCCTCCCTTGAATTCCACTCCCGTTTCCTCTTTCTGTGTAAACCCTCCGTTCCGGCTGTCACCGCGGAACGGTCCTGCCGACCATCTGGGAACTCAGAGAAGACGCTGCCAGCTGATGGACCGCGGCCAGCGCCGGCCTCCTTCCTCAAGCAGTTTGTACCCACACTGCCACTGCCGTGGCCACCCTGCTCCATCCGGATGGCCTTGCAGGCCTCCACCACGGCCCACATGCGGAAGTGACGTGCCATGGCGGATATCTCCATCAGGTTCTCCAGCTTCAGGGACAGTGTGGAGGTGTAGGAGAACTCCAGGAGGGGCAGGAAGCTCTCCGCGCTGAAACCTGCGACAAAAAAAGAGGAGCACAAAACGTGTAAAAGGGTGGTATGCTGTGATTGTCATCCAACTGTTTTGATTCATATTACTTCTACATTATGACTTTCTAATTATCTACAAGGAAGTCAATCACCATTTCTCTGAGTTTTGAACTGATCTGTTACCAGCCAGCCAGCGTCCTCTAGCTTTACTCCTCATCTTACAGAGAGGGCGATGGGATATGTCTTCTTCTCCTCAAAGGCCCATCATAATGACACATGGCAAACACAAACAGAGCTGATGCCAGATCATACATCAGCCTGCATGTTGTCCTTGGAAGAGTGTTTCAGGGAGACATTAGGCCTCATCTCAACTGACTATAGTATATTGTACATAGTATGAACACTGCATCAACATGTTGCAGGAACAGAAGAGTGTAATTCATCAGTTATGGAAGGAGCATCCGGTGTTCTACTAGATCAGGTTAGTTTCACCGTCGATAGCCAATTAATGTTAACAACATTAGTTGAAGCTAATACTTGCGTTATCTTGTGCTTTGCCACTATAGCTTTGAGCTTTTTACATTGTTTTGTAACCTACATTGTTGCCTGTTTATTGTTTGCTGCTGATTTAGTGTTTGATAATTAGCTAGGTGTCAAGTTTCGATGACAGTGCTATTTATTTAGAGGCTGATCAAGCAGCTGATTAAAAGTGCCTCCACAGCTGTGTTATGTGTTAACTGTAGTACTTAAGTATATTGGTGATGTAGCGGTAGCCTCGGTCGGACAAAGACAAGGGAGTCTATCTGTGGGAGTCCATCAAAGGAGAACATCAGCTAGAGCACCAATACACCATGCATCTCCCCATTCCTGTCACCATCTCCTACACAAGACACGCTCGCCATTGCTATCCTCCTCAGTCTTACACCATCTCAAGCCTTATATATCGCAGATCACTTCAACCGAAAGATTTCAGACATTCGAAACTCCCTTCAGTCACCACCCTCATCTCCCTCCTCTTCCTCTTTTTCCTCCCTCCCACCCTCTTCCGCTCCTCTCTCTAAATTCTCTACACTTTCAGATATTGATGTTGCCGAGCTTCTTACATCACAGTGACCTACCATCTGTGCCCTGGATCCCATTCCCTCACCTCTCCCATAGACTGTCTGTCCCAGCCTTCTACCATTCACCTCTGCTTCGATG